GCAGCGCTGGGTGAGCCCCCCCGGGGGCCGAGGGCGCAGAGAGCAAAAACCCGACCTTCCTCCCCTCTCCCTGTGGCCCCAACGAAAGGCCCTGTCACACCTGAGTCTTTAAGACACACGATTCCGTGCACGGCATGAAAGTGAGTGGCGGAGGGAATGCAGGAATGAGGGTTTTCTGTGGCGAGGTGTTTTTTGTTTTGCTTGGGGGCGGCGGGGGCGGGGGGGATGTTTTGTTCGATTCACTATCTCTGGGAAAAGAGCTTCCGCACCTCACAGGGCAATTTACTCTGGGCTATTTTTCCACACTGAATGACTTCAGTGGCATTTAACCCAAATATCAGACCATCTTTCCCATGACAACAGATGGTGATATCCATGGGGAAGCAGTTGGGAGGTCAGCACTTGACAGTCAGGAATTGGACAGCCACCAGGACTTTACTCAGCTGTGTGTGGGACCACGCTGGCCACGATGAGTCAGAACCAACCTCTTTGCAAAAACATGAACCATAACCAGCTATTATTGCTGGGTGAAAGCTGATGTTAAAGGAGATAATCGATTTGGCAAGATAAGTCACTTTAAACGAAGTGTTGCAAGAGCTGCAAACCAAGGGCAGACCAAGCTCCTCCATGCAAGAGGAGAGAAATGCTGAAAGCAAGCCGGTTAAGACGACAGACAGAGAGAAAGAGAGACGGGTCCTCGAGCCTGTCTGGAGGGCACTGGGACCCAGGCAAACGGGGAGCTGATCTTGTGTAACTGGGCATGGAAAGCTGCCCAGCTTCCAAGTTGGCTGAAGTTTGCTCACCAATCTGTCGGGAGCCCTGGGGAATATCATTAATAATTTTTTTTAAAAAAAAATTTGTTTACATGCCATACCGTGTAGGAGTTTTTTTCTCCACCATCAGAGGAGGGGAAATTGCAAGCAATGTGTGTGCTTTTATACTTCACCAGAGGCCTCTGCCTCCCAGCCGGGCTTCAAAGATCTCTCCTAGCTGTAGTTCGCCAGTAAGTGGTGTCCAAGAAGCCAGATAAAAATCCACTCCCAAACGCTCGATTCTGGAGACCAAGGACAGTGTAAACACGGATGGGAAAACCAAATAATTCTGTTGTCAGGGGCGCTTCAACAATTGGGAGAACCTGTAATATGAGACCTCGCCCCCTGGGGTTTGCTCTCGGTACTTTCTCTGCAAGCCGCACACAGCAAAAGGCGGATGTTTACATATACATTACAGAAGGGGCACCAAGAGCTTGTTCCTCGGCCAGAATTGTCCATCATGTCTAGTCCTAGGACAAATAGGGGGTTGTCATTTTAAAAGCTATCGATTTGGAAAGGTTCCTTAAAAACAATGAAATGTTCCCACGTGGTGAGAAAGTCTTAGCTGGCCTCATGCTTAGAGGGCAAGACCCTCATCTCCGCCTTCCTCTGGGGCCCAGGAAACGGACCAGAAGCGGAGGCTTCCCTCCCCCGACCACCGGGGCGCCTTCCTCTCGCCCTCCCTTCTCTTTTCTTCACTCCCAGGTCTCCTGGCCTCCCCAGCCCCCTCCCGCAGGTGCCTGCTAAGTTTGCATTGCCCCCCACCTCCTCTCCCCTCCCAGGGCCCTGTCCTCTTTCTCCCCATCGGTCTCTCCTCCCCTCCGCGGCCTCACCTCCTCTGCCA